ACACACACACACACACACACACACACACACAGATATATATATATACACACACACACACATAGACACACACACATATATACACACACACATATATATATACACACACACACACACATAGACACACACACATATATACACACACACACATACACATAGACACACACACTGCCGAATGCTTTGGTCTGATTTCCAGCTCACCAGAAATGAGTTAAACTAACTGATAACTAATCATATATCGGAGATTAATCAATAATCAATAAAAAGTTCCAGATCACGTTTTCCTGATGCCAGAGGAGCCGCAGCTTTTTTATCGATATTAATAATTGATTTAATCTCCTATATCTGATTATTAGTTTTTATTTCATTTCTGTAGAAACTAAACCAAACAGACTTTGTGTTTTTACAGTGTCAGGGAAAGTGATCCGCTTCCTGTGAACCCAAACGTCACCAGAACCAAACCACACCGTGCAAGGCCCAACAGAACCGCAGGCCTCCCTGCAGCTCCCAGCATGCAGTGGGGCTGCGGCGGTACTTACTGGAACTTCTTCAGAACCGGCTTGTTCAGATTCACATCAAAGTCCTCTGGGCTGTAGAGATACGACACACACACACACGTCACACAGCCGGACCCGGCCCGACAGAACCGGCTCAGCTGCATGACAAACTCCTCACAGACCCACAGAACCCAGAGGAAGAGGAGCGGGACCTGGAGGTTCTGCCCCCACCAGATCAGAACCGAATCACAGCAAAAACAAAGATGAAGGAAAAACAGGATGAGACAGAACTGCAGGGTGGATTAGTCGGGTCCAAAAGGTCCGAAACGTTTCTGACTCCAGAATTAATGTGGAAACACCTGAACTGGACCTGAAACCGGCGGGTCTATGCAGCTGAGCGCCGCGAGGAAGAGGAGGAGGATGAAGAATACTCACCAGAAGACTTCCTGCTCAGCCTCCAGCGAGCTGGAGGAACGAGGGAGCAGACACACAGAACGGAGGAGAGGAAGAGGAGAAAGAAGAGGAGAAACTGTTAAAACACTGACGGAGAGAGAGAGAGGGGCGAGAGACACTGCTGCAGGAAGCCCTGTGATTGGCTGAACTGATGCTGGGGGCGGAGCCAACTTCCTGTCAAATGTTTAATCCATCTGAAAAACTGAAACTATTTTATACCAAGACATTATAATAATCTATAATATGTAAAAATTAAACTCATTCAGTTTTATGGAGGACGATTAGTGCCAGAACTCTGACTACGAAAATGAAAAAAAAAAAAAATCACTTAAATCTGATACGTTCCTCCTGAAAGATGGCTCTACATCTTTACAACTCGAATCGTCGTTGAAGCTGTTTGCTCCCAAATGTCTCTGGTCACAGAAAAAAACTGTTTAAATTCAGAGAAAAAGTCAGAATTATTATTATTATTGGTGATTGGCCCCATTTACAGACTGTCCAGGAATACTTAAAAGATCCAGAACAATTAACAATATTTAACTTGAAATACATGACCATCGTAATCTAAAAATAATAAGGAAATTATTCATCAACATTCTGGGAAGTTGACAAAATCTCAACATTTCTCAACATCTTGAAAATATCTAGAAAAAATACAAAAAGGACAAAAAACATTAGAACATTTTCCAGAAAACAATCTGAAGCATTACAAGAAAACAAACTGCAACGCAAAGGAACCAATGAGAAGAAAGGAGGGAAAATATCTGCATTGGTGGGCACCGCTAGCTACATAGCTATGTACAAAGCTAGCTACGCTAATGCTGACTAACCAGAAACATCAGCTTCGCTAATGCTAAAGCGCTACACCAGCAATGTATTGAGAAGAAGCGGTAACACTTTATTTGAAGGGGTGTGGATAAGACTGACACGACACTGTCATAAACATGAAGAAGTCTTTATGAATGTCTGACAGGTGTCATGAAGCGTCATTTGGTAAATAATGACACTTTTAATGCAAAGTTGCTCTAAAAGTTGCATTAAAAGTTAGAGATGTGCCGATCAAGTTTTTTCCTCCTGATACCGATCACCGATGCTGATCACATAATTATTATTATTTTTTTTAATCATAAACCCTACAGGTTACATTAT